CGGAACCAAATCAATACAGAAATCCATTTGTCTTTCTGGAGGCACGCCCGACAGTTCCTCGGGAAAAACATCCGGAAACTCGCACACTACCGGAACCTCATCAACCGAACATGGCCTCCCCACGGCCACTCGTGTGTCCATCACATAGGCTATGAATCTACTGCCGCCCTGCTGCAAACTCTGTCTCGCCCTAGCAGCCGAACACAACGCTGACCCATACCGGGTTCCTTCGCCATACACAGTAAGCACTCCCCCACTAGGGTCTCGTATGGTCACCAGATGTCTCTCGCAATCAATAATTGCTCCAAACTTACTCAACCAGTCCATGCCCACGATGACACAAACATCTCCCATTGCAATAGGAACTAGATCTATAGAGAACTTGACACGAAAAATCTCGAGCACACATCCTCGAATCACCTCGGTGGCATATACCGCTTTCTCATCAGCTATGGAAACCATCAGGGGTTAACTCATCACCTCCCAATCAATACCGATGTACTGACTAAAAGCCAAGGATACAAAATACCGACTCGCACCCAAGTCATATAATACCAAGGCAGGTACAGAACTCACAAGAAAAGTACCTACGCATATCATAATATAATCACAATATCTCAACATAAAAATAAATACACGAAAGAATACATACCAGACACGACATCGGGCGCCGCACGGACATCCTCCGCAGTCAATTGAAAAGCTCTCCCATGAGCCTTCGAAGCCTCGGCCATCGCCAGTCAGGTCTCGGTAATCCTAGCAGCAGGCCCAGATCCCTGTGCTGATCCCTGGTGAAGTTGAGGACACTCGGCCTTCCGATGGCCGGTCTGGTTCCAATGGAAGCAAACCATAAATCCCTTGGGGAAATCCCTGGCGACATGCCCCTCCTTGCCACATTTGTAGCAAGCACCTGATCGATAGGCTCCCTCATGACCCTTGCCGCACCTTTCGCAAGTGCGGCCCTTCTGGCCTCCCATCCTCGAATCGGCGGACTTTATCCGCTTGGCTGCCGGCTGAGACTGAGCTGACCGCGTATCCATCCTCTGAGACTCGGCCTCCTCCCTGGCCTGAGTCTCCAACTCAATCTCCCTCTTCCGAGCATTTTCCTGGAGCTCAGCAAATGTTCGGTACGTCGAGTTCGATACGAACTCCTGAATGTCCCTCCTTAGAATACCCAAATATCGGCTCATCCGTGCATGCTCAGGGTAGAACATCGCCCTCTCATGAAACTTATGGGTGATCACAGCAACTGAATCATTACCCTGCTTAAGGGTGAAGAACTCCTGAATCAGTCGTTCCCTCTCCATCGAGGGAACATACTCATCTCTGAACATGGTGGTGAACCTCTCCCAAGTCACTGTTGAAATCTCTACAAGAGTGAAGTTCGCCATCACGAACTTCCACCAATCCTTCGCTCCTAGGCGGAGCTGGTTCAACACCGTTCCCTGTGATCGACACCGGACTTACCTAAGCTATATTGTAATGTGACTAGGTACACTGCATATAAGTGCATCGTTAGTTAAGTTTGTTAGGTTATAAATATTAAAATTAGTGAGTACTTTTGTGCACATCAGTTTCCAACCAAAACAAGCCATAAATTCCAATGTATCATAATCATAATACAAAACATGTCAAATCCCAAGATCGTAAAATAAATCTTCCGTCAGTGTGTACAAATCACGGCCGTGCCTTCCCACGGTCCTCGCTACTACCTGAAACACATAACACAACAAATGTAAGCATAAATGCTTAGTGAGTTCCCTAAAATACTACTTACGCACATACACCTTTCCAGGCCATGACCTTCCGGTCCATGTGTCTCAGGTGACTTCCATCCCGACCCGGTAAACCTTCTGGTCATACCCGCGTTGACATTCCAGTCCACATCACAATGCCTTCCAACCCGTAACATAATGCCTTCCGGCCCATAACATAATGACTTCCAGCCCATATCAAGCATAGAATATATAGCACATACAAACGGTTAACTTAATCACATACAATGCATACAAGTTATAACATATTCGACCTTCCGGTCACACATAGATACCCTTCTGGGTACAGTATAGTGAGAAGACTCACCTCGTAGGAAGTCTAGAATCTCACGTGCTCGATATCTCCGAATCTTGAAACGATGACCCAACCCCGCCTATTCACAACGAAATATCATTCTAATTAATATAGGCTTCTAAGACTAAGCTACACCCTTTTCCTTATCCCACAGAGGGGTAAAAGACCATTTCACCCCTCCTTGACTCAAAGTCCACATGTTGACCAAAACCCTAAATGTCAACAATAATCAACAGCCAACAGTACACGGGGCGTACCAGCTTCTGTACGCGGGGCATACGTCGATGAACTACAATCGGGGGTCTCAACCCCTTACGCTGCGCGTACTGAGAGTTACGCCCAGTGTAAGTCTCAGTTTCAGCCATTCCATGGATTTTGGTCTTAAACGGTTAAGACACTCCTTCAAGTTCCAGATCTGACTCGCCTTAAGCCTCTTATCCCATAAAGTCAGAACCTTTAAGCCTTGGTATGGCTATAAAGGCTCCTACATCCTCTAACACTTTCTTTTCTCCTCTAAAGATCTAGATCTCATGCACGGCTCAATATTTACGTCCAAGATTACATTTTTATGAACATACAACTCAAATAGACCTGGAATATGATAGATCTAGGCCAATGGAGACTACTTGCTCATAAAGTCTCCATCTTGGGACCAAAAACCCTAGAAATTGGTCCATCAAGCACACCATAAGAACTACAAGGCAAGGTCTGAACTTTTTACCTCAGGAAGAAGCTCCAACCGTTGTTATCCTTGGATCTACACTTGTCCACCAACTTCTAGCCTCCACAATGGACTCCTCTTCTCTTTTGCTACCTTGAAATGACACCTTGAAGCTTAGAACACTCACACCAAGCTAAAAACGAAGGAAAATCTCTCTTAGGGTTTCTTTCTGAAGTATGGTGGCTGAGGGACAAGGCCATCTCATTCCTTTTATAGCCCTCAAACCATATTAGGGTTTTGGGTATGGACCGGTTACGCCCGGCGTAACCTTAGGTATGCCCAGCGTACTTGGGTGACAACGCGTTTCAATTAAGCGCGCGAGTATGCTCAACGTACTCTGCGAGTATGCGCAACGTACTCTTTGTACGCCCAACGTACTCGCCCAACACAAACAACCAAAAATGACAATTATGAAAAGATGAAGGTTAAATGGTTGTACCTGAATTTCAGGCTGTTACACTTCAAACCCCCTCATGTGGCTTGACATGCTTCACGCAGCGGCTCCGACCCTGATAGCCCTTCGACCTAGTGTCGAATCCCTTGGGTTTCTTCCCCGAAACCCCAATAACCTGCCCAGTCTTTTCCTTCCTCTTCCTCATGTGCTCTATATCAAACTCCCCCCCTCGCCCTGGCAATAATGTCATCCAATGTCGGGCATGATGAGTAGCTAACATGCTATTGAACGTTAATGCTCAACATGTGGTGGCAGTGGGACTTCCACATCTCCTCATCCCCTGCTTACTGAGGCACCAATAAGGCCCTCTCCCTGAACTTGGCGGTAATCTCCGTGTCACACCCCGAAACTGGAACGACAGAAATGTTCGGGGCGGAGGACGTCATGTATAGTATCACCACACTTGAATCATAGTAATCAAAGTAACAACAACCATTGTATTGAGAATATAGTGTTTATGTTGTATTCAAATCACATATGATTGACTCCTAAAAGTATATAGCAAAATAAAGACTTGAAGATACTATCCTCGGTCTTCTAGAACCTGCACGAGTACCTGTCTACTAGTGTCCTGAGAACACAAATGGTTTTGAAAGTTTCAGCATTAAAGTTGGTGAGTTTGTAAGCATTTTGTTTTAGAAAGCATGTTCTTTGGCCTCAAATGCCTCACACAACACCACCAACAATGGAGGACTATACAGAGAATACTTGCACTCAAAAATCGACTATAACTCTTCTAAGAACACTAGGGTGCCAATTTAATTAGCCATGGGATATCCTATATAGTGTGGAAAAACTAGAGTTACACCATGTAAACCTTAATGGCCATGACCTTCCATATTCCTTAGGATCGATGGGTTTAAACCTCCATGGATTATCCATGGGTTGTCACATGGGTTTAGCCCAACCTAAGGAATCATGGATCATTGGCCCACACCATAAGAACGAATGATTTACCAAATCAACCCCTTATATTTAATTAGACTCTTTTGAACACGAAATTAATTCCAAATTAATTCTTAATCAATACTAATTAAATAATATGATTCCATATTAATATATTAAAACTTATAATATATTAATAAATCATAAATATCATCTTCTCAAAAGTCCATCCTTACAAATTGTTCCAGTACCATGCATCCCAAATGGGCCATTCTACTCTCGGTTCAAGTACTTACCGAATATAGTTATGGACTTAGACACCTTATCCAACACTATCACCCCCAACAAATGTAAAAGGGGTACAGAGCTTTCTAGGTCATGCAGGATTTTATCGATGTTTAATTAAATACTTTTTGAAGATCATGATGCCTTTGACTCAACTTCTTTTGATGGATGCCTCATTTGACTTTTCTAAGGAATGTCATGAAGCATTTCAATTGTTAAGGGAAAATTTGACCACTACCCCTATTATGATAGCCCCAAATTGGAGCCTTTCTTTTGAGCTTACGTTTGATGCTAGTGACTATAAGGTGGGAGCCATTTTGGGCCAAATAATTGACAAACATTTTTAACCTATATAATATGCTAGCAAAAGCTTAAACCCAAATCAAGAAAACTACAAAACTACTGAGAAGGAGTTGCTTGCAGTGGTTTATGCTTTTGATAAATTCCGCCAATATCTTGTTTTGTCAAAGACAATTGTATTTATCAATCATTCTGCTCTTTAGTATCCCTTTGCTAAACCAATGTTAATATGTTAGGCATTACTTTTACAAGAATTTGACGTTGAGATTAGAGACCAAAAAGGGAATGGAAAACGTAGCAGTTGATCACTTATCGCGACTAGAGAACCTGCAATTGAAAGAATTAGAAAAAAACAAGATTGGAGATGATTTTCCTGAAGAGTATCTTATGGCCATAGCGGGCCCACCGGAGGACATCATGGAGCATAATATACGGCTAAACAGATTTTTGATATGGTTTTTATTGGCCTACAATCTTTAAAGATGTCACTCAATATGTCAAGGAGTGTGATTCATGTGCAAGGTCGGGAAATATTTCATCCCGAAATGAGATGCCCCAAAATAGCATTCAAGTTTGTGAAATATTTTTGATATATGGGGGATTAACTTTATGGGACTGTTCCCAATTTCCAAAGGAAATAAATATATATTGGTGGCAGTAGATTATGTATCTAAATGGGCAAAAGTACAAGCATTACCTTCTAATGATGCTCGTATGGTGGTACGCTTCCTTAATAAGTTGTTTTCAAAATTCGGTGTTCCTAAGGCGCTAATTAGTGATTGACGAACCCACTTTGCAAATGATCAATTGGCTAAGGTGTTACACAAATATGGTGTACACCATAGATTTTCAACATCATTCCATTCACAAACAAGTGGGCAAACCGAAGTTACAAACTGGTCATTAAAACAAATAATGGAGCGATCGGTTTGAAGTAATAAAAAAGAGTGCCTAGAAAAGCTTGATAACACTCTTTGGGCATTTCAAACGGATTTTAAAACACTTATTGGTACTACACCATATAGGTTGGTTTATCGAAAGAATTAACAATTGCTGTGAAATCGAGCATAAAGCGTTTTGGGCTTTGAAGATATGTACTTTTGAACTTACTGAACTGTGTACCAACCAATTGATCCATATGAATGCCCTTGAAGAACTTAGAAACGAAGCATACACTAGCTCCTTAATTTATAAATACAAGACTAAGAAATGGCATATCATGAGATTAAAAGGCCATAAGGATTTTCATGAAGGACAAAAGGTGCTACTCTTCAATTAAAGGTTAAAGCTTTTCCTGAGAAAATTACAAACTTGGTAGGATGGGTCATTTGTTGTTTAACAAGTGTTCACACTTGGAGCTGTTGAACTTATACTAAGAGACGGAACCCCTTTCAAATTTAACGGGCATAGAGTGAAACATTATGAAAAAGGAATGCCAATTGAAGAAAAAGATGGGGAAATCATCAAATTCACACGAGTTGAAACAACTTGAAGCGGGAAAGAGTGCGACTTATGACTACTCAAAAAGAAGCGCTTGTAGGAGGCAACCTGTGGTTTTGAATTTGCATTTTTAATTCCTTTTCTTTTAGTTCATTTTGTTTTATTGATTTAATGCTTTATACTCTCATTCTTCTAAATTTCTATGCAATTCAAAGTGGGGAACGGAATAAAACAAGTGTGGGGTGGATCATTTTATAAGATTTTGACCACCACAAAGTGGTGAATTTATAAAACCTAATACACATTTTCTCTAAGCAATACCACGACGTGGTATCAGTTTAACTGCAGTCAAATTAGGGTTTTTAAACGCCAATCAAAACATAAGTTCACTTTTACTCCGCCTCTCTCTCGACATGTTCCCTTTCCTCACGAAGAAAATCCCTTTCTTCTACTTGATTTCTTTCGTTTTTCAACTAAAAGGTATGCTTTTTGTGTAATTTCCATACTCTTAATCACTTCTTATGCTAGTATAGGGTATACAGTTACTATTAGAACACTTTTAGGCCCAAAATTAAGAACTTAGGGTTACGATTTTTGCAAAAATCAGACCGACTAATGATGTTTTTCATTTGATTTGTTACCTTCCTACTTAGATTCATGCCTATAACAAACCTGAAGTTGTATTGAGTTGGTATGGTTTGGATTATGCTCCTATTAAACCACAAAAAATCGATAGTACGTCAACCACGACGACTCATCATGGTGAATTTTTTCAATCCCAATCCCGTTTTGTTCTAATTTCGTGCATACACAAGGTTTCCTCTTATGTTCTTTTTGGTTATTTTATAGAAATGGATGGCCGTGCATGACGCCAACAACCCGTGAGTTGCCCTAGTTTTCCATGGTATTCTTTTCCTAGGACTGTTGGGCCTGAGATTTATGCAAGATGGAATACTAAACTTGATTGGATGAAACAGCAAAAAGTCCATGTTCCTGTAGTTGTAGATTTGCACTAGATGGGAAAAACAGGATACATGGAGGGAACTGAGCCACACTTGGACAAGGCATTCAATACCATTCATGAGCAGTTTGTTTTTATAGGGTGGATACGACAATTTGAAATTCAGGAACGTCGTGTATAAGGAGTTAGTCATTGAGTTTCAGGTCACGGTTTCTTTTGCATGGGAGGATGGAATATTAGTTGAAGACAACCTTTCCTTTTTCCTTGGTGGAGAAAGGCGTACTTTAAGCCTTGCTGATTTTACTCTAAGGACACATATTTATCTTCCATCTGAGGTCTATTCTAAAGCCTATCAACAATATATTGTTGGATGTGTTCAGATTACCAAGGAGTTCAAACCGGAAGCACATTGGAATGAAATAGCAAATGGTGCTTACGATAAGAGGACTGCACAACAAAGTGACATTCGCTCTCTCTTCATCATCTTTTGCACCGGATTATCACAAACACCTTTTATCAGAGACATGAGGAGGACAAGTACCCAACGATAGAAGTCTTTTGCATATGGGCTCTTATCACCCCCGATGTTTATGTGGACTTACTATTCCTATTAGCGGATTTTCTTGTGTCCTGAGCAGGAAAAGATAGCCGAGGTTCTCCTCTTTATGGAGGTATGTTGATAACTTGTCTTGCACACTCTTTTGGAGTCCTTGATAAACGCAAAGCCGTGTTATTGAATTTGGAGCTCCATAAGCCTTTCTCTACACTACTTTATAAGCGGGCAACAATCGTTGTTGATCATGGGATGGGTGATTTTTCTATTCTTGATGATACTTCATGACGCTGAGTCCCGAGGCGAGTAAGACAAAGAAGGGACCCTGAAGAAGATGAGCCACCATTTGTACCAATGGATGACGAGCTGCTCATGGATGCCAATAACATTGCGATGAGGAGGTTTGATCATAACTTGGCAAGGAGTGCCAACTACACCAACATGTGTCTAGAAAACCTTATGGAGCAAATGAATGTAACCCGGCCCGCTCATTTTCCTCTTACTTACCCATACGCACCGAGCTAGGAGGAATAACGGAGATAGCAACAAGGTAGAGGAGGAGGTGATGATGGAGATGACGAAGAATGAGAGTTCTATCCTTTTATTTTAGTGTATTGAAGACTTTGTTTATTTTATGTTTTTTTTGTGTTTGGTTTGGTTGTTTGATACTTATTTCTTTTCGGTTTTGTTGTTTGACAATGTTTCCTACTTTCATTAATCATCTTTTCTTTAGATTTCCAGGTGTAATTTGTAGAGTCCAAGAGAGGGTATTGTTGACAAAAGAAGTTGCTTTATAGATAAAGACTAGAAACGAACAGAGAAGCGAGATTTGAGCAATTTGTAGAGTGTTTGTTTATGGCAATAAGTGAGGAGTCATGCCTAACAGCTGCATACACTAGTTGGCGCGACAAATACTCCAGAAATTAGTTGATTATGGCACAACTTATTGCTATTTCTAGACCACCACGTCGTGGTAGTATGCACCATGTCGTGTTTTCGTAGTAAAAAAGCCAAAATCGCATTCTGTTTGGTCCATTACGAGCTGGTGAACTCCGCCACGAGGTGGTTCTTTTCAAGTCTGTTTTCATGTCTAATCCCGTACTTTCAGAAGTTTAGGTGTTCAATAATGGAATTTCTAATTTTATATTCACTCTCATAGTATGGATGAGTTGTTCCCACACCATAAAATTTATTTTAACGTGATAAAGAAGTATTATTCCGCTTGCCAAGACATGATTGACACGTTCCTATGTCATGGGGGAATTGTTCATCGCATAAGGAGGCTGTCATTATACTTTCCAATTCCGTTTCACACTTTCAAGCAACCGGGTTTTTCTACACATTTCCACACGATTCAAGATGCATCTTCTACCCAGGGAAGTTTGTTCCTTTAAATTTAGCATTGCTAGTTTCAGAATTAGCATAAATATAGACTTCAAATAATAAGCTTAACTTTGTAAACATAGCTAATTACAATCTTTACTAGCATAGTATGGGATCATCCGATGAGAACTCAAATGTTTACTCGATCTAACACATGTCACAGTGTATTTGTGGCTTCCAATTTCCTAGTGAAAAGTCATGAGGTGTGAAAGGTAATCTGGTAGCTTCTATGGCATAATATATTCTGCAACCTAAACTTGAAATCTATCCAGGAAAATTCAGTTAGTCATTGCAGTTAGACTAAAACCTATAACCAATAAAGATTGAAGCTAAGCACCTTGCTTAAGCATGTAGGATTTGAGTGAAAAAAAAAAGGTGAGATACATGTGAAAAAAAGAGAGAAATTACCAAAAAGTTCAAGAGTTTTTGGAGCAGTCAAATTATGAAATTCAAAGATCAAAATTCTGGAGAAATCCAAAAAGTTGAAGATACCAAAAATCAAATAGAAAAGGTGGTGAATTCAAAGTAATCAAATATCAAATATACAAAGAAAATGAAAAATTCAAAGAGCTTCATTGTGGTATCAAAGTTGTAATTTCTAGAATTTATGTATGCTTGGTTTCGTAGCCAAAAATACCTTGAGGGTAAGGAAGATTTCTGAGTATTGATTAAGAGGGTTGCAAAAATGAGTGCCATATAAGCTAAGGTATGAAGGTTCATAAGGATTGTGAGTATTTACAATTGGAAAGCTATTAGAAATTATAGACAGATAATGGTTGGATTTGAAATGGATTGTTTTGTACTTTTTAAGTAAAATAAGAAATCAATTTGCTTGAGGGCAAGGAAATAATAAGTGTGATAACTCAACATTTTAATTACTTTTATACCCTTATTAGAACAGAAGATACTTAATTTGTTATCAATTATATTGTAGGATAAAAGACATGCTTGGAGAAAAAAGGAAGCTGGAAGCTGGACATGGGAGTTGGAAGGATGAATTAAAGATTTTAAATGATGAAAAATATACCCAACACGTCGTGGTGGATTTCCTACGGCATGGTGACTTGAAGAATCCCGATTTTATTTGAGGGCTTGTGGACCACGGGATAAACACAAAGACCACGACGTGGTAGCCTTACCACATCGTGGTGATCAGAATTCGTGAAAACTATAAATATATCTCATTCTCCTCTAAATTGGGACTTTTGCTCTGTAAGTAATCATCACTTTTGAAGGAAAATCACTTGTTCTAAGGTGTGGAAGCAAGGAATTTGATCATACCATTGGAAGTAGGAGAATTAAGGCAACCAATCTCTACACTTTGATTTTTCATTAGTTTTTACCATTTCAAACCCTTTGAATTTCGATTTTGTTCTTTTGTTTGCTGAAATCATGAGGTAAATACTCATGACTTTCGTTTAGCCTAAGATTGATTGTTTAATAATGGTTGAATTTATGGAGCGGGTTTAGCTATATTGTTATTTGTTGATTTTGCTTATTAAAGAACCTCAAGTACTTTTGATAACTATTTTCTCTACTTATTGCTAAATTTGATTAAGTTAGTATAACTATCTTTCTTAGTTGAATTCGAATCTTATGATCTTGTGAATTGCAAAATTTTAGGACTAGATTTGTGAACAAAACCTACGGTAAGTAGAAATGTGGGTAAAAAGGTATAGGAGCTAATATATGACGAAAAATTACATATTGAATTAAATCAATAAACTTAATGGATCAATCAGTTATAAGTCTAATTAATTCGAACCAAATACTAGTAAACTTGTATGTTTGTCCGCTTGATTACGGAATAAATAAGCTAGTTTGCTAAAGTTTTAAATTAGTGAATACTAATTTGGTCATCTTAGGAATCGGTAACTAAAGAAACTAAAATCCATTGCACTTCCATAAATCAACCATAATAACAAGTAAATCCGAAGCTACACGAAACTCTCTTACTCACATTGGTTAATTCATCGTTGTTATCTTGCCTTAGTTTACTTTTAGCTCAATTAATTGATAATTAGTTAGTTTGGTAATTTAAGTATCTAGTCTTGCAAAACTAGGAAAACAAAACCTTTCCTAATTTTATTTGTAAGCAGTTAATAGTGGAATAAAGGTTCCTTGAGTTAGACACTTGGTCTTACCATAGCTATACTCTTACACGATTAGGTACATTGCCAAGTGTGTTAATAGTCTAGTGAAAGGAACATTAGTTTTATCAATTTGAAACTTGAACAAATATATATAAACATTAAATACACATCAAGTTTTTTGGCGCCGTTACCGAGGAACGGTGCAGTTTTAGTTACTTTATTTCTTCTATTTTATTAGGATTAGTTAATGTTTTGTTACTTTTACTTTTATTTTAGGTTTTATTTCTTTTTGACTGACGACAACGTGGTAATTTTTACCACGCCATGGCATCGTATCAGTAGAACATTAGTTTTAGTTTTAGTTCTTTTTACGCATTTCCTTTGTTTATTTGGAGATCGTTTATGACCTGTAGATAAAATTCATCTTTGATTCCACCACTTGAAGATCCGGAATCTGCTTTTCTCAAAAACAAAGACAAAACCATAGGATAATCTGATACACCAAAGGATTCACTTTTTAAGAATCTTAAGTTAGTTTTTGGCAAGAAGAAGGGAAAATTGAGGGAATCCAACAAAACTCAAAAGGATGAAGACACAAAGAGCAATCCAATGAAAGATGACCCCGAGTACGAAACATAAAAGGCAGAAATCAAAACCGAATCTGAAACAAAAAAGTGAACTAAACAAAGAACCTGACAAAACCATACAGAACATTTCCGACCTCTTGATGGAGGCGTACAAAAAGGACATCATACTGGGGCTTGTGCAACACACCATACCCGTCACTACCACATTTGAACTTAAGGGACACATCCTTTCTGCATTAAAGGAGATTTCCATTCACCGGAAAGCATTACGAGTATGCTTATAAGCATCTAGACAAAGTTAACGACATCACCGACAACTTTAACGTTCCAAATATTCCGAGAGAAACAATGTTTTTGAGGATGCTCCCTGTCACTCTCAAGGGAGCAGCGAAGGATTGGCTTAAGGCACTTCCACCAGGCGTGATAACGACGTGTGCAGGGATGCATGGATGATTTTTGGAACCATTTTTCCCACCATCCAAGGTGGCTAAGCTCAAAAAGGCCATTGCCAATTTTGAACAACAAATGGGGGAGTTGTTATATGAAGCATTGGAGTGCTATAAGGGGCTACTTAGGAATTGCCCGCAAAACAAACTCAATGTGCAACAAGAAGTGTCAATCTTTTATGATGGGGTAAACGTCACCACCAGACAACTCCTTCACTCTCAAGGCCCATTAACTAAGAAAAATTCGGCAGAAATTAAGGAACTCATTGAAGAATTCTCTAAGCACTCTAGAGAATACCATAATCTGAGGAATGATGCAATGAGGGGGTCTGCTAATGCTGCCTCGTAGGATATGTCGACAATAATGGAAATGTTGCAAAACATGGTTAGAAGAATTACTAAGATGGATCAAACAATCCATGCTATCTGGGTTGGGTGTGAAAACTACAACGGGCCACATTTGACTAGATATTGTGACCTTGATGAGAATGGAAACCAAAAGGTTCAAGCTTGCTACTCGAGTGGAGATCGTTTTGATGAAGATTGGAGAAAGCAAAAGAAAAAATGTTTAACCTATGATGAATATAAAAAAGACAAGGAAGAAAAGTGTGAAAAAAAAGGGAGAGGATTTTACCAAAGAGATGAACCAGCGGTGAAAAGATATCCGATTTTGGGACAATTCTCACCCGATTTGCAGCGGCATCTGAAAAAAGGCATGAGGGAACTAAAGGAGCAATTAAATAACAACAAATAATGACGAAAGAGAAAAAAGTAATGAT